GGCGTAGCTGGGTGCCTGCCGCATCTCATAAAATATCCAGTAGCTTCCTCCTATCAGCCAATAGGCAGCCACAGAAACACAACCCAATTATAGTGCCTATAACAGATGTCTGTTCAGGCCAGGAGCCAATCAAGAGCTACAAGTTATGCCCAGCTGGTGTGGCTCAGTGGATTGAGCGTCGTCCCACGCACCTTAGAGGTCGCTGGTTCAATTCCCAGTTGGACACATGCCTGAGTTGGGGGCTCCATCCCCAGGAGGGGGGGGGCGTGCAGGAGGCAGCCGATCTATGTTTCTCTATCATCGATGTTTCTATCTTCTCTCCCTCTCCCTTCCTCTCTCTCTAAGAAGCCAATAAAACTTGTTTTTGTTTTAAAGAGCTACAAGTTATATTTGGTTACTGTCAAGGACTGGATGTGCCTTCTCCCAGTTCATAGATTGCAATGCTCACCCTCAATAGGATGGTGCTAGGAGGCGGGGCCTTTGAGGGGTGATCAGGTCATGAAGGGGGGATCCCCCTGAATGGACTAGTGCCTTTGTAAGAAGAGGCCAGAGACCTAGCTGGCTCTCCTCCCACCACGTGAGGACACAGGAGAAGGCGCCTCTGTAACCGGAAGAGGCTCTCTCCAGAGCCCGACCACGCCAGCACCTTGACCTTGGTCCCAGCCTCCAGCACTGTGGGAAGTAATGCCTGACACCCAGGCTCCGGAGCGGTGCCCTCGTGCAGAGCCGATCATGGCAGCTGTCCCGCTCCCGGAAGTCTCATGTGAGGGAGAACCCCCCTTCTTGTTTCCTTGCCCGACAGTGACCTGTTGCAGAGACAGGGCCTGATGGCTCCCTGGGTGCCAGCCTTCCGAGGCACACCAGGGGGTGGGGCCCACTCTGGGCCGTGGGATCCAGAGGAGCTGCCTGGGCGGCCCCGATGCCACCTGCGAGGACAGTGGCCGGGAGAGGATGGAGGTGGCTGCTGCCCAGCCCTCCGCACGTGGCTCTTTCCCAGGGAACACCAGCCCTCCCTGAGACACCACGGCTCATGGGCCGGGAGAGTGCGAGAGAGCTGATGGCCAGGGAACAGCAGAGGGACACACTGCAGTCCCGGACAGACAAGGACAACTGTCCTGGCTATTCTGAGTCCCCACCCACAATGCACTGCCATCGCCTCTTCCTGTCTGGGGACCTTCCCAGCATGCAGACCCTCTCACATCTATCTGATCCCGGAAAAGCCCAGGGAGCAGCCCAGGGAGCAGGCCAGGGAGTGCAGCTGGCCCCATTGTATGGATTCTGCAAACCCTCCGAGGGGAAGGACTGCGGCCAAAGCCCCGGCCGAGCGGCAGAGCCAGGCTGGAGATGCAAGTCCCTCGCTGAAGCTGAAAGCACGTGACCCCCACTGCTATTTCTTTGTTGTTGTTGTTAATCCTCATCTGAGGATATTTTTCCATTGATTTTTAGAGTGGAAAGGGGGGGGGGGAGACAGAGAGAGAGAAACATCGATGTGAGCGAGACACATCGTTTGCTGGTCTCCCCACGTGCTCCCCAACCAGGGCCAGGGATTGTGCCTTTGACCGGAATCGAACCCGGGACCCTTCAGCCCTCGGGTTGACACTCTATCCACTGAGCCAAACCAGCTAGGCCTTGACAGCTGTTTCTAAAAGAGCCCTCCCATTGTATTTCCAGCATATACCACAACGTGGAAGGGAGTCCGGTCTCTGTCCAGGGGCTCCGCATCAAACAAACCATAGGAAGATGAATTCTAGAACACGGGAGCCAGAGGGACCTGCGGGGACCTTCAAAATCAGTGGTTCTCAGCTGGCCAACGGAGACACCTCCACCCCACCCCCCGCCCCCGCCCAGGGGACAATGTCTGGAGACTTCTTGGTTGTCACAACTTGGACACCTGGAGAGAAGGGAAGGTTTGTTCCTGGCATATGGTGGGTGGCGGCCAGGGATGCTGCCGAACACCCTACAGTGCACAGCACCCCCCACCAGGACACAATGATCCCGCCCCAAAAGTCACTAGTGCCGAGATGGAGAAACCCTGGTCTAAACTCCCGGGTTACTTCAAGTACAAAGAAACTGAGGCTAGCCCAGCCGGAATGGCTCAGTGATTGAGCATCAGCCTATGAACCAGGAGGTCGGGGTTCAATTCCCGGTCAGGGCACATGCCCGGGTTGTGGGCTCGATCCCCAGTGGGGGGTGTGCAGGAGGCAGCTGATCCATGATTCTCTCTCATCATGGATGTTTCTGTCTCTCTCTCTCCCTTTCCCTTCCTCTCTGAAATCATACAAAATTATTTTTTAAAAAGAAACTGAGGTCAAAGATACAAAGTGACTGCCAAGGTTACACAGCTCCAAAGCCAGAAGTGGAATCCAGAACTCAGCCGCATCCCTCTATCCTCAGCTCCGCTCTGCTCGGGCCAGGCCAGGCTGGGGCAGAAGTGAGGGTGGGACCCGAATGAAGCCAACCAGAGCCAAATGAAGAACATGGCAATAGAGAAAGCAGCAGCCCACAGGGCATGCGCCCTGGGGGAGGAATGCCCCCTCAATTACCAACTAAACCGGCACTGCTGTGCAGGTCCGCGGGTCCCCTCTTCCTGTGTGAGTTCCAGCACAGCCCCCAGCTCCCAGAGGGCTTCAGGCCTCCAGGGAAGAAGGCCCAGGTCTCCTCCTAAGGCTGCCCACGCCTGTCCTGGCCTCGGGTTGTTTTTGAACCAGAGAAAGGAATCTAAACACAGGTCCAGCCCACTTAACAGTCCATACAAATCCCACCGCACTGAACAGCCACCTGCCCCTTCTACCTACCGCTGAGTCACCGTGGCCCCTTCTCTCGGAGCTAACTACTCAGCAAGGGAGCCCAAAAGAACGCCGGGAACCCTTGGGTTTGGGTGTTCCTCTTCACCCCCACCCCCGCCCAAAGACCATTTTGTTCTTAAGAGATGTGTTCTTAAAGGAGCTGATGCCCTCTCTCTTACCCTCGCATGCTACCCTTACAGGCTGCATTGCACACTTGTATCGTATTATATTGTAGTTTATTTGATTGGATACTGTTATTTTTCAATCTACTTAAAACACCTGAGGGGGGGGATACATTTATGAGATATCCCCTTGAAATGCCGGGACCTTGCAAAACAATGCAGAACGCTTTCGCTTGCACATCTAGCTCTCTAAATTGCTGACCAAGGACTTTCCGTTCCATTCCGAGCGAAGCAGCTTTTGCTTTAAAGAAATCGGGCTCCAGGCTGAGGACGAGTCCCCGTCGGGAGAACTGGTAAGTGGGCCATTATTGACAGCACAATGACAGCTGCAAACAGCTGTGGTATCTGGGCCAGGCCCGCCCCTGCTTTCCGATGCCTGCGCCGGCGACCATGCCAGTCTCTCCCCTCCTGAGCCAGAGGCCAGGCCGTCCTGTCCGGCCCCTGCCCACCTTCCCGGGAGGGGCCTGCAAAGA